GGAAAGTGAGCGAGACGTTAAGATAGCTTTCGTGCTGACAGTCTTCTTTCAGACAAAGGATTGTTTATTGCTTGCTGACTAGTTATTGAAAGGAAATTTGTGATTTCTGGGACCCAGATGGAGTTTGTGTTGCTGGAAGATGCACACAACACCCCTAACTGTGGATTGTGAGGTATTTTGCAGTTCATGTCCCATGCCATCCTTTCCGTCCTCCCCAGGTGTATTTCAAATGTAGAATCTATTCTTTTATCCTCACAAACTTCCAGACTACTCTCCAGCCAGTTACATGGCTTTTGCTGTTAAGGATGCCTACTGGGATGCGGGAAACGTGTCTAGTTTGGTATGTTCCATTATATAGAGATAGGGCTGGAAGTCAAGCTCTGAACTGGCTACTTCCTTCTGGGATCTATGTGCCCTGCAGGGGCCATTGCTAGGCCACCCAGAGAGTGCCCTGTGTGCCACTCTGGCCCTGAGCACCTTTCACTCCTTCAGCTTTTCTAGAGCAGGGTAATGAGGGAGGGAGTTTCTTTTCTGCCTGTGCCCATCTGCTCTGGCAGATACTATACAGTTTTTCTCAGGGTCATTAGACCTCAGTGGGAATCAATTCAGCATCTTCTCCTAGGAGCAAGAGCCATATCTCTGTGCATTCTCTACCTTGCAGTGTCTGGGAATCCTCTCTCCCTCTTTGTACCCATCCACTCCTAGCTCTCTTCTCACGCTCTTCTGCTGCCCTGGCAGGCACTGACCTGTTTGAAAGTAGTATCTACAGCGATCATTGCCCAAGTCTGTTCCTTACAGAAGTTGCTTTAAGCTTCAGTTGTCCAGCTTTCCCTCTATCAAGGATTTTCTGAGCATCTTCTATATATCAGGCAGATTTTTTCCCCTAAAGACAGAATATACCTCTCTAGCTATAAGATCAGCAAAAATAATGCCAATTTTAATAATAATAGTTACTATATTCATATTGTCTACCATTGAGTAAACCCAGTTCTTTCCCAAACATTCCTACACACTTCCCAGGATTAAGAGAGACCTGAGACTTGACACCAGGCACAGGAAAGGGGAATTGTTAGCTGGGAAAGGTTAGAGACCTGGACCCTTACTGGGAAAGGTTCTGGGTAGGTTCTAGGAAGTTATATGAAGGTTATGGATTGAGCGAAAGTTCTAGAAGCCTGGCCTATTGTTGTTGGGGATGTACAAAAGGAAATGGAGGAATTGGAGGGAGAATGGAGGGAACAACTAGTTAGATTGGATCCTTTTATTAGTTTAGTTAGTACATTACATTTTAATAGGGCTCTGAAAGGATATATCTCACTTGATCCCTTCAGGAGCTGTTAAGTGAGGTTAGGATTATTCTGATAGTTTTATAGATAAAGAAACTGAGGTGTAGAGAGATGTGGGCAGTGCCCCTGGGTAACAGGTCCAGTGCATGGTGGACCACTCCTTGCATCTGGAATCCACCATGATTTATCGAATGGCCACCTTGACCCATGAAAAGACAGGATTAAGGACTCCAGACTCAGAGGGGTGCTTTGTTTCCCACTTCAACAGGGGGAGCTGCCTGTCCCAGCTAAGAGGCTTGACTTACAGCTCTATCCTTGATTGCAGCACGATCCCTTTGTCTATGGGTGTAGCAGAGAGTGTTGGTACCATACAATCTCCTTTTTTTCTTCTCAACTTCAAAGGTCAGCTAAACAAAGGACTAAGGAAATCAGCCTCAGGAATAAGCGCAGAGTAGATGGGTGGTTCCATGTGTACTCACATGCACAGGCCAATGAGTAATTGGCTGAGAGGGGGAAGCTGCCAGACTACCAGGTCTAGGATGAATGCTGTCCTCTGGTTGAGGGATCCCTGAGGAACCTTCTGAGGTGCCCTCATACCCTGGATCACCACACAGTAAATGAGATGATTCCCACCAACTGCTTTGGATCCTGTCAATAACCATTCTAATCTCCATGGCAGCCCCCAGAAGTGGATCTATAGCAATGTGGTAAAAATGAAGCTGCATGATCAATGAATCCTTGGACAGTCTCCTCCAGGAGACATAAATGCATATTGTAACAAAACTTTACTTTCTTCTGAAAATTGCCTACATGATTAATATGGCCCGCCACAACCCAAGCTGTTCAGCATGAAAAACAGCCATATTTCTTGCTCCCTCTTCAGCCGGCTTCCTTCACTCCATCCCCTCGTCTGTTTTATTTTTGTTGCTGTTTTTCTCCTGAACAGAACATCTATACATTGTGTAATCTCATTCAAAGAGAAGAAGGCATTAAAATGTGTGTTTCTCAGTACTCCATCCCCCATTGTTGCTGTTTGGTATTTCCAATGTGGCTTAGACTAAACATCAAATAAAATTCTCTAATGCTGCCTGGACTGAGTCCTGGCACTTTTGTGACTGAGCAATGCAGAGCATCTTCCCCCAGGTATTAAATCACCTGCTACATCATCTGGGGCTGCAGTGAGGGCCAGAGCTCTGTGCTCTGAGTCCAGCCTGGATGAAAAAGATTCTTCCCTTTAATCTCTGTCTTCAGGCATGTTAAGGTTGCTGGAAGGGAGAGATTTCAGCAGGTAGTCCTGTATCTTTCCCCCCAGGAGAATCTAGGAAGTCTAAGGAGAGCCAGGGTGTGTTAGGCAGCACGCTCCCACAGGCAGAGCATCCCCTTCCTTGATGATAATTGTTGGCACATGTGCTTTATTTTCTCTTCTACAATGCCAGCTCCTTTGTGAGAAAACAGGGATCTCTAGTGGGTTCAGTAGGTGTCTTGGTTTGGTCTTCTCCATAGGCAGACCCTGAAACAAAAATTCAAGTGCAAGTAGTTTATTTGGGAGGTGAAGAGAGCACCAGTGGGGAAATAGGATATGAGACTAGGAATGGATGATAACCCCAGAGTGTGTGTAATGAAAATTGTGACTGTGGGTGCTAGGGGCTTAACCCCTGGGGGGATTTTTGAGTTGACCTGTCCAGGGACGAGAGAACTGTGTTTGCACATCAACTTCTAATGGTATTTAAAGGGGAGCTTCTGGGATTGTGTGGTTACTGTGGTGGTGGCAAAATAGACTCTAGACAAGGCAGTGCGAGTGCTGGGAGTCAGGAGTTGGACAAGTGTACAACAAAAAAAGACTAAGGGAAATGTGGGAGGCAAGTAGGTTCTACAGGTAGATATAGGCAGGTGTGTGCCTGAAATTGGTGCTTTCCCTTTCTTTGGGGGTGGTAAATTTGGGAGAAATGGGGCTGGATCCTTTAATGCTGTCCTACTATGGCTTCATTCTTATGTCTTTGTTAAGGAAAGGCTAAGAGTATACCAGTGATTCATGTCCTGGAAGGACCCTAAGGAGGATGGGGCTGAGATCTTTTCCATGTTCAGCCGTAGTGCATGTGCCTTCATCCTTCCAGTGACTCTGCTTTTCTCTTTCTCTTCTTCCTCAGATGTAAGGAGCTCAAGTACTCCAAGGAGCTGCCGCAGATATCCATTATATTCATCTTTGTGAATGAGGCTCTGTCGGTGATCCTGCGGTCAGTCCACAGTGCTGTCAATCACACGCCAACACATCTGCTGAAGGAGATCATTCTTGTGGATGACAACAGTGATGAAGGTATGGGGGTGGCTGACCTGCTCATATGGACACAATGTCAGCAGGAGGAAAATACCCCTTTCATTCCCGCATGAGCCACAGTGTCTGTGTCTCCTGGTCCTTAGCACATAACTGGGAATGGAGGATGCTGTAGGCAAACACTGCTTTATTATTCCTCAAATCTTTGAGGACTCCTAAGAATAAATTACTGGTCATAGATGTAGATTGAGTTCCCTTTTTATGTTACTTAGAGTAGATAATGGTGAAGGGTTGCACTCCTCCCCTAATTCCTACCTCATCTCTCATTTCCATGATCCTTTGCCAAGGCTAAAGAAAAATAAAATTCTATCCCACGTTGTGGAGACTGCTCATCTTATATCAGAATTTCCCTCTGGGGCACTGTCCCACAAGACTATAGGTAGAAATGAGTGGGGTGTGTAGGTCTTTGGTAATTCAGCTCCACTAGGAATGATGGCTTAATTAAAAATATAAAACAAACAAATAATAGATGATGATAACAAAACTTCTTGGAGGTCTGTGGAGGCTATTGGATGAAGATACGCTATGAAATGTGATGAGAGCTGGTATTGATAATTGTGCCTTTGCATTGATTCAGAGCCTACCACCTTCACTGTGCTCACTGTAGGGAGAAACCCTCACAGGCTCATGGCATGGAAGAAAGCCAGCAAGCGAGTGTGTCTGAAGTCTTTTCTTCTGAACTATTATTAGGGAACTGAAGAGAGCACCAGTGGGAAAGTGGGACAGTAAGACTAGTAATAGATACCCCTAAAGTGTACCCCTAAAGAACTCATCCCTGGATTCAGAGTAAGCTAAACCCATTGCTTTCAGAGTCCTGAGCAGAGAGATTATACTGCAAACTGCTTTTGGTCAGGAAGGGGGCATGGAGGAGGCAGCATCATGGGCCTTGTTTATTGTGTGATTATCTTTTGGAGCATAAGGATGATCTTCTCATATTTAAGCAGACTGGGAGCTGCCTCTTCATAATTGCCTGACTGTTCTACAGGGCTCTAGTGTATCCTGACCCAGCAATAGGCCTTCTCCTGGATCTCTGGTTTGTTTGTTTGTTTGCTTTTATTGTTGGTTTTTGTTTTTTAAAGTTTATTTTATGTCTTACTTTCATGAGAGAGAGAGAGAGAATGACAAGCATTCTCAACCGGGTTTCACTCTGTGGTCCTCTCCCCAGTTTTCCCAGCCAGCCAGGATCACGGCACATGTGTACGTACTCAGCATAAACAGGTCAATGTAGAAATTGAAACCTATGGCTTCTAGAGTTGCAGAACATGGTGTTCTGTGCCGCCGTGGTTGGACCATTCAGGAGCTTTGGTTTTTAAGGGCTTGACATTTGGTGGACTTTTGCTGTCCTTATTTTTCTCCCTTTACCATTGGCAATTTCATTATCTTATTCTTCATTATCTTCTTCTAAACCTAACATTGATATTCTTCTTGCAAAGATTACATTTTTTTAAAAAACTTTTGTCCTAGGGTAAGTGTGCTTGCCAGAGAGAGAGAGAGAGCGAGTGAGAGAGAGAGAGAGAAACAAAGGGAAAGGTGTGGCCTCCCCCCTGGAGGGGAGGCCACACCTTAGTCCCTTTTCTTCCATTGTCCTTTCAGGATATGGGGCACACATGCATACATGCCCATCATGTTTTATAAACCACCAGGTCTGTGATGTAAACCAAGCAGTAAGCATGTGGTATCCAATTGCGTTAACAACTATACTGCCTAACTGGCCTGAGGATCATGTTTATTTCAGTTTCTAGAAGCTTCTAAGTCATACACTGAAGTCTGTCTCCTTGGCATGGCTTATAGCTTCCTTTTCTGCAGCCCCTCTGTGTATACACCATGGATCCCTGGCTATAGAAGTGCTTCTATGCCCCTCTTAAAAAACTGACTGTTCCTGGTGTCACAGTCATCTGTTGGCTAAGGCCTACTTATTTCCCAGTGTCTCCTACATGTCACTTCCTTGAGGAAGGCTTTGCTAACATCTCAGGCCCTTGTCCTGTGCTAACTCAGCATCTTGCTGCCTGCCATAGCACTTATTAACACAGGATGTTTCTATGTCTTGGTGACTGGATTCCCATACTCAGTGAGACTTTGCTTCCCTGGGCCTGACTAATAGTGGATCCCAGGGTAGTCTCATTTACCAGAGGAGGGATAGGGGAGCTGCAAAAGGCTGGTAAAGGGCAGGCAGGGGCTTGTGGGGAAGTAGCTGGAGGTGGTACAGAGAATAGCTAGAAGACTCAGAAATGAGAGTGAATTGGGAGAGGACTCAGTGCTGGTGGTGCTCCATCCCTTAAGGATACTTCTGTGGAGCCAACCAGAGGAGAGGAATGGAAGGCTGAGGCAGCTCTAGCTCCTCCATGAGAGCAGGGATCTCTGTATAGTATTAGACACATAGTAGGCTCACTAGGTGTCTCAGTTTGGATTCCCCAAGAAGCAGACCTTGAAAGGAAGACTGGGGTGCAAAAAGTTTATTTCAGAGTTGAAGGGTGCAATAGGGGAGTGGGACAGTAAGGCTAGGAAGAGACAGCACCTCCTAAACTGGGCAACAGAGGCTTGATCTCACCTCTAGGATAAGTCGCACCCTTCAGAATTAACCTTCTCCAGGGTGAGGGAGCTGGGGCATTTATACACTGTTAGCCTCAGGTGCTTTAGCATCAGAGTCTCCTAGAGCCCTACCCTGGAGGAAGTTCTGCTTCAGGAGGTCTGGGGTAGTGCTGAGAATTTGTGATTCTCCCAAGCTACTGGTGATGTTGATGCTGCTACAATAAAGACCCCATTTTGAAGACCACTGGATTAGGGCCGGCTCAATGGTACAGTGATAGTGGTCTGCTCAAGTGATTCTAGATCTATACAGCAGATCTTAGATTTGGTTCCCCAGTTGCCCTGTATACTCTGGTGAAGAAGGTTGGATGGAGTGAGATCATAGTGTGAGATCCTGTTCGGGGTGTCTTTCTATTTCTCTCTCACACTCTCATAAAAGAAAAAGACTTAAAAAGAAAACCACTGGGTGAAACAACCAAACATTGAGCCTGGCCTGCAAATATTATTTCAGTGGTTCACAGTTCAGGCCCAAATGGAGGTGTTTAGTGGGGAGGAGATATTTAGTTTGTTCACGATGAAGTTAATTTCTGTGTATCCTCCTTCCTCTCCCCAAATACCTAGGGAGTCAGGAGTTGACTATATTGACACCATTTCCCTCTTTTCATTTTATGGTTCTACTCTCAATATTTTCTCTAGGTCAGAAATGCCTTCTCTTTAACTAGAAGAAAAATTTAATATTTTAAAACCTTATTGAGATTTTCTTTGTAACTAGTATTATTGAGTTTTGTAAATGTTCTGTATTGACTTGAAAAGACCCACACACACCGTAATCATGGAATTGAATTCCTGCCAGACATCAATTTTGTGTATTTAGATAGACTATGAGTCTATTTTCTTAAGACTTTTTGATAAATGGTGTTTTAAAACCTCCTCCTGCAATGACTATTCCTTCCTGTGTTCCTAATAATATTTGATTTCTGTATCTGTTGTCAGTTTCTTTGGCAGCTATAGATTTGTATCTGTATGCTTTCCTTCTGAGCAGTGGTTATTACCATTATGTAATGCTCTCTTTATCTTAAAAGCATACCTCTTTTTTTGTCCTGAATGTAGTTCTTCTTACATTAATATTGTTATTCCTGCTTACCTTCTGTTCAAGTTTGATTAAAACATTTTTTCAGCCTTTTAGGTTTTTTTTTTCCTGATCTGAAAAGTAATGCATGCTCTCTGTAGGAAAATTTGAATATATCAAAAAGCAAATATAATTGGTAAAAAACAAACACCAAGGAGACTAACTTGAGGCAACTGCTCATTTGCTGATATCTTAGCCTTTTTTTAATGCACATTTTACATAGTTAAGATCATATAGTATAAACAAGTTAATGTTCTGCTTTATTCCCCGAAGTGTAAAGCATAATCAGTGCTCTTTTTATTTAAAAAGCTCTGCAAATATCATTTGTTTGAAAAGAATCATTTATTTAATTTTATTTATTAATTATTATCATTTAATTTGCTATAGGGTACACACACTTCCCAGAGAGAGACAAAGCTGGGGTGAGGTGGTAGTGCTGAGAAAGCAAGCCACCACATCTAGGACTTGAACCAGTGCCTTCACTGCTCCATGACCTGCTGGTCCCAAAATATCATCTTAATTGAGGGCAGATAGTCTTCTGTCCTATTATACTATGTCCTGGTCAAGACAGCCTAAGTGAATGGGTGGATAAAACTGGTTGATTTGGAAGCAGCCTGCATAGGAAAAGTGGGGTTGTAGTCTTTCCCTTATTAAGATGTTTTATTTTCATTTGAAGCCATTTGTTTCCTTCAGCTTAAATACCGACATTGGCCCACGGTAAGCCCAATAAATATGCAATTCTTTGTACTCTGAGCATCAAACTGAAATCAATCAGGCAAAATTTGCCAGCAATCACTTCTCACTGATTCCAGTGGGCACTTCCTTTCCTGATTGTCTTTGGCCTTTTGGTCACTTCTGATGCTGTCCACGTGTTTCTTCTTCTGAGGCCCTGACACGACTCTGCTCTGATTTTCCATTAGCCTCCCTTTGGTGGCTGCTCTTCCTTCCTTTCCCCTGGTATCACTCTTGATTCTCAGCAACAGGACACACTGGGCAGTCTCCTCTGCTGTGTATGTTCTGATGGTTCCCAATCCACCATCCCAGCCCAGAATACTCTCTACTGAGCTCCAAACCCACATGTCCTCTGTCTCTTAGATGGTTACCCAGGGTCCTTCTGAGATTAGAGCTCAATTGGTCCAGAAGCTCACCTATTATTCTCCTCTTACCCTCAGAAACCTGCTTGTCATCCCTCATTTCCTATCTCGGTGCTGGGTTTTACCTTCTACCCAGTTATCTTATTATCAGACTGGAACTCTTTATACTCTTCTTCCTTCCTCTCCTACCATTATCTAGTAAGTTCCTCTTGAGTGTGACCCCATATACTCAT